CAAATGGCCTGAAATGGTTGTAGGTCATGAAGGAAGTTTATGGTGGGAAAATGACAGAGGCTAAGGAGGGATATAACTTAATTTCAAATATTTTTACAGAACCATAAAATATTGTATATTACAGAAAACAACCAATAGTGAAATGTTTGCACAAGTTATTTAACTAAACGATCTTTTCGGGCTTGAAAACCATTGAAGCAGTTAAATTCCAGACACTTAGTTTTATTCAATCGAAATAACAAATGAAAGCAATTAATTAAATGTAATCCCCACAACATATGCTGTTTTAAAGTTGCTGCAGCCCTCTGGCAGCTTTTCGAGTTCCTCAGACATTGCGCATCCGCCCCGTTGTGCACTCGTCCTAATGCACAGTCATACTTGTGTGCGGTTGCCGCACCAGCCAGCGGCATTAATGTGAAAAATTTAAGTTTTCAAAGTCGCCAACCTGCCTCCTCCCCCTCCCCCTCCCCCTCCCCCTCACCCTTCTCCCTTCATCCTTCGTATCGCACAAACTGCTGTCCTCGGGCTGTTGCCACTGCCATTAGCAGAGTTTTACCAGCAGACGCGTTAATTCACTCACATCACGTCGGCTGTTTGCATAAATCAACGCTCGTCGGCCGAGGCCGGGGTTTCATATGGCTGATATGTGTGCGGAGTATCTGGCTGGCTTTGGCCGCACCAACTGTACTGCGCTCCTACTTAAAGCCGCAAAAATCAGCGGAGCTCGTTACTCCGCGTAACCCCTTTTCCAGGTGGGCGCCGGATTCCCCGTATGCCGCCGCATTTATTACACGGCTCGCCTGCCAGCGATTTACAGCTTTCAGCATTCAGCATTCGGCTTACGGATTACGGCTAACGGCTTACAGCTTGTTTCCCAAGCGGCTTAAGCCCTTTAGCCCGGCAATCTCGAGTGGCGGGGCAGCCCTGCTCATTTGTTAAATTATAATGAGTCGAGTCTACGAACGGCGGGATGGATCAATAAAATCAAGCACCTGCAAAATCTACGACTTGCGGTCACTGGTGGCAACCAGCCTCCAACCTCCTCTAACCGCCCCGAAAAACACAAATATAGGTTTTGGGCCAGAACAAAGGAATCGCAGACCTCAAGGTTTTCCACTGTTCCTGCGACAGTTTCTGCGGCCAAAGTTTTGCGGGTCGAAGTTTTGCGGCAGAAACTTGGATTCCCCCCTTTCCCACTTCACCCCCTTTCAAGTGAAATCTCCGCTTTAAAGGCGCATTTAATTACTCACACTTTAGATACTCGCCTTACTCCAATTTTTTTAAGAAAAGGATTATTATTTTGATAGCAAAAAACTTTTGTGTGAATTTGCAACGCCTCAAGGCGAAAGCCCAACTCTAATTAAATTTCAATGTGAAAAGTGCTGTCCTCAATTAGAAAATAGATAAGGCGGCGAGGAGAAACGGACAGAAACGCGAAATAAAGCCCAAGGATTAAGCCAGATTGAACATCTTGGCGGGTCGGTGGCACAGAGACAATTTGCATACTTAATTGGTAATCATTTGACTGTCGACATCTCGAGGGCATTCAGAAGTGGAATCCGAATCCGAATCAGAATCCGAATCAGAATCCAAATGCGATTGCGAATCGGATTCCAACGCTTAGTCGCAGATTGTGCAACAATTCTTTCGCCTGATTAGCAGAATATTTAATTTAATCCTTTGTACTGGCAGCAGGGAAAACCGAAAGAGGAGGAGGAGGTGGGGGGCGGCAAAAACTAATGAAAGAAAAGCGTAACGAGAGCAAGGCTGGCTTTGATTAGCGATGAGTCGAGTCGAGTTGCCTGATTGATTAATCACATTCGATGCCTGGCACTGAGCTATATTTTAATTGGAAAGCCACAGAGCAAGTTTCCGAATTTGAATGGGATTTGCCTTGGCTGTTTTATTCCCCTTTTTTTATTCTTTTGGCTTCTGGCTGGGCGAGTGAACTGAATGGGCAAATTGATGTGCACACACTCGCATCTCGAAACTCTCAGCTCGCAGCTCGGAGTCCTGGAGCTGCGGAGTCCTGGATATATTGTAATGAAAGCATAACAAAAACAGAAACGTAACACAGACGCAGATGAAAATCTCTGCATGAGAAATGTCTGCTCGATGGCGGCCACCCAAAGCCGGGCAAACTCCTCCCTCCAACTCGAAACAGCCCCACCGTAGTTTGTAGTTTCCGCTCACGTTTCTGACATGAATAAATTGGTAAATATAACCGGGATCAATACGCCCCGTGCTCATTCGTCAAGCGAAATCGCAGCCACGGAATTGCATCTGCGAGAGCCGAAAATAATGTGTATCTAAGTGCATTTGCAGTAGGGAAAATTTGTCTTAAACAAATCAATTCAACATTTACATGAGCTAATAAAAATTGTTAGGAAACCCAAGAAATATTATTACATCATACAAGAAAAGTGTTAACATTATTAATTAATTTAATACAGAAATATTTTTATTTTTTACCTTAGCTTTATATTGTTCAAGCTAATATAGTTATTTTTCTCAGTGCAGGCAGCCAAAATCTGGGGCTCGAGCTGGCATAATCAATGACTTGAAAGCAGCCAGCGTGGATTTTGGCCAGATTCCGACTCGGGTTACATTTCTGCATCATTAAGTGGCAGCCGCATGGCGGGAATATGCTAATAGTCGTGTTTGGAGAGCCGGAGCCAAGCGGCGGGTGGCCATGTGAGTTGTGTACAATATTTTTGGGGCACACCCTCCTCGGATTCCCAAAGACAATGCGGACTCCCTCCCCAATCGCACTCTCCTTCTCCTTTTTTTTTTGCGAGGCGTCTTAAGGGATCACACGGCTGAGAATGTTTACCATTTCGCATTGGAACGCGTTTCTTTTTATGGCAAGGATTTCGTAAATACTTTAATAGTTGGCAAAGGATTTTGCGCTGCCGCAGGAGATTTCGCTGAGTGGAATCTGACATTTCGCACCGACTGCTTTAAAATGCATTCCTCCCGGAAATGTCATAAATATCCGTGAGCATCTCCGGCTCTCTGCCGCGATAATTCCCCGATGCAATTTAGCAAACTGCGCCTCAGGTCGAAGGAATAGACCACCGAGATATTTGTGTATTTACTGTGCGCTTTTCCATATATTTTCCATCGCCTCGACCCAGTTTGCCTATCCCACCTGCAAACTGCTCGGCGGGTGTTGATAGCCAGAAATTTATGGGGCTGTGAGTATGGTCAGTTTATTCCTACTTTATGCGCACTCCTGCAGAAATATTATTCACCTGCTGGGTTGCTGCTCTGCGGCTTGAGTGCTGAGAAATTGCCGGCTGCTTGAGGTGCAAAGTTGTTAAACGGCAGTGCCCATAAATGTATGCTACGGAATTTTAAAAAGAGTTGTAGGTGTCGTTGAAACTTTAAAAATAGACATAAAATCTATTAAACGGATTTATACGGATTTATACGGACAAAATTGAGAACAAAAATTGAGTTTACAAAAAGTGCATTTCTCAATTTTTATTTTTATTATATTTTGTTCATCATTCCTTTTCATATTAAATTGGTTAAATGTTTCTCCATGCTCTCCATTATTTTCTGTACTTCTCCAAATTGATTGCGGAAAATATTGAGCTCGACGACAAATATTGAAAAACGGAGAACAGCCGCTTGACATCGCTCCCGTATCACTCGAGACCAAGGAGTCCTTCATTTGGTTTTTAAATCACCAATTATGTGGAAATTCTCAATGAGTCAATGGTGAGCGGAAAACGATTCCTGCAATCAGGCAAATTGCAGTGCACTTTTATTTATGGGAAATCGAAACCTCTTAAAGCACTGAAGAAGCCTGATGAGTACTAAAAAACGAGTAAATGCCTCTTAATTGAACACGTATTGCTGCGTTCTATCATTTTAATTTGGGCTTGGTAAAAACATTTATTTATTCAGCTTGGATTAAAGGTAAATATATTGCGATATATACTAGGATGAAAACAACCTTATGTAATACATGCACAAAAGGTTGAAACCCCAGGAAAGCCTCGTTTGAAATGGACCAGAGAAATCCAAACAATGAGCGCTTGTTATTAACATTTCGAGTGCAAATAAATGAATTCCAATAAAGCTTCATCTCCATGCGAAATCCATAATGATGACGATGTAAAATGGAAGGGGCTGTGGCCGAATCCTCCATTCGTTAGCCTGTTAAGTCCTTTGTTCCAGCGATGCCCGTTGTTATGGTTTTTAATATTCGAAATATTTTTGCCGCTTTCCTTTAAGCGAGTACCAACGCTGGGCAGATACCAATAAATTTCTTTTCAGTAGCAGCGGCTGACAAAAGAGTTTCAATCAAATAAAAAAGGATCCACATGCCCATCTCAGTGGGGTCCAATCAACAAAGTTGCCACCCATCTCTATTCTCTCTTTTTCAGATTTAAGTTATATCACATTTGTAATACCTACTAGTAGATTCATCCGCGGAATTAACCAGCTCCTTGTTAGTAAATTGAAACCGCCTCAAGCCGCTCTCTTTAAGTGCACTTTTGTGTTTTACGAGAACATTTGCCAAAAGATACTCATATGTATATTTCTGCTGTTTTCCCCGCAAATTGCTGTCTTGTGGGTAATAAGCTTTTATTTTAGTTACATGTGCAAGCGAATGGAGCTCATAGTTTGCTGGTAAATATTTTATATAAATGATAAATATAAATATAAGAGTTTTTGCAATCAGAAAAACTCTTTCTACACTCATAAAATTAAATTGAAAGGAGACACTTCGCACTTTCCAGCAAGACATTCCTCTCAGTTTTAGTTGCGAAAATTCAACACAAGTGACGTGTCATTTCAGCTTTCCAGATGACTTAACCGTGGGAACGCCCTTTTCACATAGAGAACTCAACGAGAATGCACTCGTATCTAGGGTTATTCTGTCTGGCAGGCTCCACATATTTCTGGGGCATGTATTTATTGCGACCTATTTACGGCAAAATGGGAGTTGCACACGGCAAAATTGTCATTGCACAAGAGCCCACAAATCACACAGTAAATTTTTGCAATTTTAATTAAAACTAAACGATTTTAAGCGCAACAAACAGCTGTCAGCCACTCGAAACGAAAGGCCACCCAAAACGGCCCACCACCCACAGGTCATGAGCCAGGTCACATGAGCCATGAGCCACGATGTCCAGCAGTGTTTCCAGAATTTCCTTCAACACCGGACTGTCTGTGGGAAAACCCGCCATCTGACCTCATTCGCATGTCGGCCAGCATTCCCAATTAGTTGGTCGTCCCCCGATTCCCGTTTTATTTTGCTGTGTATCATTTTGCTCTGCGGTGCAGAGTGGTTTCATTAGTGGTTGGGTCACTGAGTGGTTGTGCGGCGGGTCCTGTGCCTTTATTGTCGGCTATTCGGCTCTCCAGTTTGGCTGCTCTAATTTTTTTCATTACCTCGATTCTCCAGCATTGTGGGTATTACTCGCTACTTGATTGGCACCAGTTCCTGTGAACCTATCATCGGGAATAAAGGATTAAAGCCAAGAGAACAATTCAATGATTTTTGTTTCCTTACAATTTCATTTGCTTTCTGCTCATTCAGTACCCCGAATTTAAACTCAAAGTGTAGTTTTATTTCTTGCCACTACTATCACCTTTTCAGCACCCTTTTTCCGTAGAGATTTTCAAAGCTCTGCAGTTTTGTTTTTCGCAAATTTCCTTTCAGTTTGATGCTTCAGTCAAGTGCCAAAACCAAAACCGCCCAAGTTGAGAATCCGCAAGAACTTTGAAAGTGCGAAAAAATGCGCTGAATCCGATTTGAAAATTGTTGGGCTCAGCGAAAAAACGAGACTGCCAACTCAACAGCATTTTCGCCATACGTTGATTCGATTTGGCAGGCATTTTACAGCTGAATACAAAATGGTAGTATTTCATTTGATATTAAATATTATAAAAAGTAAAACTTGCAGTATAAGGAACCGATAGACAGAACAAAAACCATCCTAGATAGAAACAAAATATTTGTAAATCCAGTCAATGCTTTTAAATAATTCCAGAGTCAGTGCTATAACCTTGCCCGCTGCTGTATGTGTTGGTGCATATTTGCATGGCCAGCAGAAGTGGGCAGCTGTCATGGCTTCTATTTGTCGGCAGGACAATGTGACTGGGACAACGCATGAAATTTGAACGCGTCCATGAATTGCCTTTTGCGGCGTGCTCTTCAGTTTTCGAAGTTCTCCTCGCCGCCACTGATGCCACAAATTTTCCTTTTTTGTGACCCACTTGCTGGTCAAACAACTTGCATAGATAAGTGGCGCGTGGCGAGTGCCGGGTGGCAATTAGGAAACTATCGCTGCACCTGCTACGATGCCAATTAGCGCTGTTTATGCCCACGCAATTAACAAGCCTGTTAACGTCTGTTTACACGCACACGCACTCACACACACATTGTCAACCTTTGACGCACACAAGCACACAAACACACTCTCGAGACGGGCAAACAAAATGTGAATGAGTAATTGACGCTTTAATAAGTGCCACTTGACAGGTTGCAGGAGCCACGTGCCCGCGATTCATGGAGAGAAAAAAGGAGAACGGAGATTGTGTTTCCAAATAGTGAAACAAATTTCCGGTATTTGATTGTGCAGACAAAAAATAGAAACCTCAGTGAAGTGCTTTCCAATTAATAGAAATGCTTTTCCTTCTTCAAAGCATAGTAGCTTTTTGATGTGTGCAAAAGTCAAAACAAATTTATTATTAGAAAAAGGTTAACAAAGAAGTGATTTCAACCGTTTTGTTTTTAATGTATCTCTTTTTTCGTTGTGTACTTTTCTCACCGGTCATACGATACCGTCCAAGTCACTTTCCCTCTCCGAGGGGTTAAGTAAATATACTCCCGTAAGGATACACTCGCACTGGCATCACTTTGGCATTGTCAGCTGGCTGCGTCGGCAAATTAAATTAAGTTGACACAACACAAAAGCCGGGAATCGTATTGTTCAACTGGCGCACGCGGCGTATGCGTAATTTAAGCATATAAATGTTCGCTCTGTTTGCAGTGCACGGGGAGCTCATCCCATCTCCATTGGCTGTGTGCCCGGCACAGGTGTTCCTTCCTCGCAGGTTGCCTTAAAAAATGCTCACCGCTTTACGGACTGACAGGCCAGTCAACTTTGACAGGCTGACAGCAAAAGGACGACTTCCTGGCATCCCGGTTAATGCTGTCTGCAACTAAAGATAAGCAGCACAGGCTGAGTGGATTGCGAGAAACCAATATTAAGGCTAAGTGGGGTGAATCAGGCTGAGAGCGTTAGCGAAGCCTTCAATCAGCGAAACCACCACCTGTTTAATGGCATTTATTTAAAATATATACAAAATGTATATCTTTTAACAAGCTTCATTGTAGTTATGCACTTAAAGCAAATTTTAACTAACCAATTTAATGGATTATACATATTTAGCTTGCCAATGGACAGGTCGCAGCTCGACAAACCATCGCCACTCAAGAAAATTATCCTTCTGAGAAACATGATGAGCGACAAGCCTCCATTTGCGTCGACACATTTCCTCAAGTCGTCGAACAGGAATCCATAAATACGGAACGAGCTCGGAGGGGGGCAAAACTATAACATATATACCGGCTGACTGGATACTTGCGGTGGAGACGTGAGCGACTAGTCAAATAAGCCGGCTATGAAGCGCAGATGCAGACCGCCACAAAACCATTTATATTCAGAGCCCTCGCACTTCGCTGAACTCACATATCGATACGAGTCCATTTGTTGTTTGTACGTCTACGCTCAGTTTGATTTTCGCCGGGTTTTGGTTTTATTTTCACGTCTGAGTCTGACAATGCGAACAATTCATACGCTCGATTAACATTCGAGAACAGCACTCATAATTGGAGCGGGCATAAAAAATTCCACTGCCATAAAAACAACCGAAAAAATGCGTCGAGCGAAAGTCCCATTTCGAATTTCACAAATATCAGGCAAACAGAAATATTTAATGAAACTCTATATTATATAAAGAATATTCTCCACTTAAAAATTCAATTTAATAAGCAGGAAAACTAACAAAAATTGTCAACAGAGTCAATAAAAGCACACAAAATCTAAAAGTATGAAGACTTTATTTTATTATATTTATTTTTGTTTGGGCAGTCTGAAGAGCAGCAGCTTGGCATATTCATTTATTTGCAGTATATCATTTATCAAATATGTCAAGCTGTCAGTGCATTTTCCCCCACACGTCTTCCATTTTTTTGAATCGGAGGATGGGGGAACAGCTCTATCAGCATTTTTGCAATCAAAATCAAAACTTTAAAATGCAAATGCAATATTTGAGGGATGCACATAATTAAGACTCTGTGCTCGTCAAATGGCATTTCAAATTCACTGAACCGCTTAGTTGAAGCGGAAAATTATTAGATACTGTATATGGGGAGGGGGTGCGTAAATGTGGGCCAATCAACACCAGCATCAATTGGCAGGGACCCCTATCCGTATCCCATATCCCATATCCACTCGCCAGACACCTCGAATGTGTGTTTACGCATCAAAAACAAACATTTTCGCACGAATCAAATGCAAAAAACCTGCATCAAATCAAACATCAATAACAGTAAATTTAGGTAATTTCTCCGTGCACTTTCAGTGCAATCGGCATTCATAATTAGCAGGCAAAGAGCTTCCAGAGCTATCGATTCCGTTCACTGAACTCAATAGCATTGAGCACCGAATTGATCAATTTAATTAACCGCAATGGCAAACAACTTAAGAATCTCGTTCAGGGAACTTCTGCAGGCAAAACAAACTTTAAGTGCGTTTAAAACATACGTTGATTGTTATGGAAATCTCACTTCTTAATTGGCAGTGGTTTCTGCAGTTTTGCATAGCAGCAATTAAAATTCTATTAGCACTCTCACATTCTCACTTTAACTTCGAAATTTATAAAGTTTGGAAAGTCAAGGATAAACAAAGCAAGTGAGTTAGCTACAAGACTGTTACGAACTTAAATTACCATTAATTATAAATATAAATTAAATTAGATTTCAACCCGAATAAAAGTGCAAAAAGTACAATAATTACCTGACATATTTATCATAGATTTTATTGATTAATCCTACATAATATGTATCCGGCTGTCCGAAAAACTCCCCAACACTCTGATACCCTTTTATAAATATTCATACGGCAATAGTTTTTGTCAAGTGGCAGGAGTGTGAAAAATTTTTGAATAATTCCTAGTCGAGATAGAGAGTATATTTGATCAGAGCGAAAGGACTAATTTCGCCCAGGGCCCAAACTTTCAGCCTTCCGACATTGTCTTGCTTAAATTGTGTTTATTGGTTTTGAAACAAATTGATTGCCTGACTGGCATTTCGGAATAATGGAAAATCTTGACTGGGCCAAAAGGCCAGGCGACTTAAGCGGAGAGCACACAAGTTCTCCTTTCTTTCTGCAATGGGTTTTTGCCATTTTCACAGCAAATATCACAGGGATAAAGTGCCGTGGGGAGTGGGGGGAAAAGGCCTGCATAAACACTTGTTTAGCCCGGAGTGCATTTGTTTGCCATGCCGATACCAACGGAAAACTCATGGGGAAAACTCAGGGGGAGGGCGGCCAGAGCTTTTGCAGACAGACAAAGTTAGTGACATGCTCGCTTTTATTTATTTCTTTCGGCAACTCGGGGGAACTAGTCGAATCGAAACTCAGAGCAGAGCTCTGCACTCTGCTCGGTCAGCGCCAGTCGAAATGTTCATTAAAATGCAATTGAACTTTTGCCCCGACGCATGACGAGAGCGCCGGCTGCATTCGAATTTCAATTACTCAAATGCCACCTGGGGAAATGGGACAAAATCGCATTAAAGTCAGTTCCAAGTGAATGATGATTTTGTGGCCGTTTTGATGCTGCAGCAGCGCCGTAAAAAGTTCTCAGCTCGCTGGCCAATTCGCAGCCGCTTCGCTTCGCTCTTCCTGCTTTCCTTTCTGCTTTCTCCTTGCGAAAACTTTGCCCCGGCTTGTCTTAATGACTTTGAAACTGTTGGCCATGTGTGGCGGTGGCTCTCGACGTGGCCAGGATGCCACCGGGATCTGGACCGCAACAGGCACGTCGGCTCTTTGGCTGCCGGTGCAACTGCACCACAATGATCTCAATTTACGTGATGGCCGCCCCTCAGTGCGCTTGATTGCAACACTGAGTTTTCCTTAACTTTTCCGCCAGCCATTCGACATTAAGCAATCTGTTCAACTCGATAAGTCTAGCAATGATATGATTCTGCAAAAATAAATTATTAATATCTGGATGCTACATACATAATTAGGTTTAAAACTGTTTTAAATTTAAGATCTATGATAAAAACCTAGAATAAATATTTTTAAAATTTTCTGTATGCAGTTTAAAATGTATACATATTTGTTGTTAATTTGTAAGATTTTCCGCTCTCCATTTTTCACACATTTAATAACAGTTTCATCCACTTCTTGTTATCCAGAGTTGACAGCACTGCAGGTGAAAGATGCCTTCAGGTGCGGGCGGAAATCGGAAAGCTTTTAGTGGACTTCAGTGACAAGGATTGAGGCCGGCTAGCATTACGCATACGCAGCGTGGGACACAGGCGAACAGAAAGCCAT